GAGTCAAGTGATTTTTATTACTAATTTTATTAAAACTCTAACTTTATCTTCGAGAGTGAGCACTGCATCTGAAAGCGTGCTGGCCTTAAATGCAGTTATCAGAAAAATAAATTAATAAATCATATAAAAATATATATATATATATATATATATATATATATATATATATATATATATATATATATATACCATATAAATATGACCGGAAGAGGGAAGATAGAAAAGAAATTGAATCCAGAGAAATTTAGTCAAATTATGGGAACAGGAATATACCAAACTAACTGTAAATATTGTATTCTTTGTTTCGTTAACGTGTGTATATTCCATGTGTTTTGGGAGATAATAAATGTGACAATTCTTTTAAACAACAGGTCGCCGACGTGTCGGCCGTTAGATTTGGCTTCTTCAGGTTAGTATGAAAGATAAAACTCTGTGTAAGGAAAATGCGTTCCGATTTTGGAGGTGAAGAGAGGCAATGTATTAAATTATAACGACTAGATACCAGAAAGTGTCCATTTGTTTGCTTATATATATATATATATATATATATATATATATATATATATAAAGCAAAGAAATATATATATATATATATCGTTTTATTTTATAAATAGAAATGGGTTAAATGGAAACCGATCACAACGAACCCCTCTTTAAAATCATGTCACTTTGTTGCTCGGTTTAATTTTCCCAAAACGTACTTGGACAAAAAAAATAATTGCATTTGGAAACAAGTACTATGGAGTGATGAAACAAAAATTGAGCTCTTTGGACATAATAATGTACAGAAGATTTGGCGGAAGGAAGGTAAGGCTTTTCTCCCTTTCCTGGCAATATTAAAACGTGAAGGCGGCTTGATGATGTGTTGGCGCTGTTTTATCTCAAGTTGGGGGGGGGGTAATTGCAATAAGAGGAATAATAAAATCTTCAGACTATATCAAAATTCCGAATGAAAATCTACAACTCTCAGCGCAAAACCTTCATCTAGGTCGACGATTTCAGAAAAGAATATTACAGTTCTGCCATGGCCTTCGATGAATTTTGACTTGAATCCTACTGAAAACCTATGGCAAGGATTGAAATTTCGTATAAATTGTCGGTCTTCAAAAACTTTCATGAATTAGAACGTGTATCCATTAAAGAATGGAATAAAATCCTTGAAAAGGCTTGTTCAAATCTCTTCAAAAACATTGCAAAACGATTGCAGCAAGTTATAAAGATGAGTGGCCATGATACTGATTATTAATATCGTGAAAATTATTCATTTTTTTCTATTTTCCATACTATACAAATAATTTTGTCATTTCCTATTTTGCATAATTCGTCTGTCAGATTTTTGTTTAACCTATTTTCCTGAAAATTAAGATTTATACTCTTTTTTTGGGCTTATTAATATATAAAAACCTGGCATCATACAGTCATTATATTCTTAAAAAGGATTAAAATATTCAAAATTTGATGAGTGTACAAATAATTTCGTCGTTGTCTGTATATATATATTATGCAAACTGATACAGGTGCAATCTGAATGAAATAAATAATATATATAAACTAGGTAGATATCAACAGGCTGATATATATATATATATATATATATATATATATATATATATATATATATATATATATATATATATAATATAAACAGACTAATATAAATAGATATATGGAAAATATGTAGAAGGACATATGTGACAGACTGCTATAACTTGTGCGCAAGCAATATCGAGTTATAAGAAAATTGATAGAAAGTTATCGGCCAGATAAAATTCCCCGAAACTAACCCTAAAGACAAATTTTCTTTTGGAAGGTTTACTTGTCCGAGAAGGTACTTTTTCAGCACCCTCTTGCATAATTGAAATTATACACACACACACACACATATATATATATATATATATATATATATATATATAGAGAGAGAGAGAGAGAGAGAGTAAGAGAGAGAGAGAGTAAGAGAGAGAGCGCGCACACACGCACACACACACATATATATATATATATATATATATATATATATATATATATAAAACAAAATGGATCCATTTATAGAGAGATATTAAATTAGACGTTTCTTATTAAAATCTTTGTGCATTTTTCGCAATATCTTCCCTGAAAATAAGATAGCATAAGCCCCCAGGGGGACGACAGATCAACACGCTTTTTGCCTAACTTTGAAAGTAGAGTGGTAACAGAATACCTCTTTCCAGAGTTCAAGAACCAAACTAAAACCCTATCTTGCCCCACGGGGATCCCCACGGAATGAGTTCCTTTAATTTTATACTTGGAAAGTGAAAAGGTGTAAATATGAAAAGCATTTCAACTGGACATTATTAGTTTTTATCGCCATCTTCTTCCCGCTTCATCGTACATTGCTTTTGTTCCTTATCTGCCTACGGCTATGTCGGTAAGAAATGAATCCATATCGAGCCAACACGTTTCAATAAAGTGTCCTCCTTGTAAAATTTAAGCGAAAAAATATTGTGCCAAAATCCTTATTTCATGTAAGCAATGTAATTTTTTTTTCCAAGTCAATTGGAATTGATGTCTATCTCTGCCCACATCTGAAAATAACAGGTTTTCAGAAACTGAAGAGGTTGGAAGAACATCCATAGCTGAAAATGAAAATTTCAACTCTTCAAAATCAGAGATTTCCAAATAACTGAACTGAAGTTTTGTCCGTATATTTAAACACATACGCACCTATACACACATACACGAAAGTTATAGATAATTTTTATATATAAATAGCTATTTATAAAAAAAAATGCGCAGAAACTGTTTAATCTCGAGATCATCCACAGGAAATTTATGTTCAGTATCTTGTTACACTTCGCCTTTCTTGGCAGATCTTCTATTATCACAATGTGCGATGTTTAATATACAAAAGGGATGGAAGCATGAAACTTAAAGAATTCAACTTCGGTTAAACTATATAGCAAAATATATTAAAAAGAATTAAATTCTCATTGCTCCCGTTCCTGGACATGTATAGATTCATCAATATAGCAAGACATACTTGCTAACCATTACACCGCCTCGAGGTGCCCAAGCAAAGGTATTTATGGGAATTAGTGCAGCGTCTAAAGGATTGCGATATTCTACACTAACCTCTATACTCTTTCTCTATACTGATCACCCTACGGATTAATATTTCGCGGTTATCCTTGCGAGTATTATTGGAAGGACTGACTACTAGTATCTGCGATTCCTAAAGTCTCGACTACAACGAGAATTACCAACGTGATAACGAGCATTCGTTGACATCACAAAAGTGACAACGCGAAGGCGCCAGACATCACAAAATTTAAATAATAGAAGGTTTTGATATAATTATTTCCTTTTAAAATGGGGAAGTCGTTGATTTGGGATCGGACCTGTGCGGATACATTTTCGGCCGGTAGTTTGATCAGGTCCGCGGTTGAGCCGGGGTCCGTCGCCTGGGACGCAGAGATAAAAAAAAAAAGTAGTTAAATATTCTTCTCTTGGCGATAGATTATTTTTTTACTCCTGTGGCAGTGGAGACTTCTGGGTTTATTGAGTACTCGTTCGATGGCGTTCCTTTGGAGGATTGGCTCGATGGCGTCTCGATTAAGGGACAAGTCTCGCGAAATGAAGTGGCTCTTGCAGCTTGTCTCACTGGCAATGGTTCGAGGTAATGCTTTCTCCATCATTGTGGCTGGCAATAAAAAAAATGTTTATAGTTACTTTGTTCAAATTTTTTTTTTTTAATTTATATATGTATTTATATGAAAAAAAAAACAAACCTGTCTATATTTCTGAGATGAGCTATTATGTACATTATTTACATTATTCGGACTATGGTCCTCATCTTTGTCGCCATATTTCGACATTCCAACTACCTGAAGAAGGCCAGAGCGTACAACGACCGAAACGTTGTAATAAATATGGCAACAAAGATGAGGACAATAGTCCGAATAATGTAAATAATGTTGAAAAAAAAAATTTCCTTATATTTTTAAGCCTTCTTTCCCGTCAAAAATTACACTTAATTCATTGAATAGAATTTAAGATAGCTGCTGCGTTAAATTATCTTTATCAACTAAAATATATAAACAATATTATTTCAAATGCATTTTTTGAATTCCACTAAGAAGTGCGTTGCTTTTAATGCTCACCTCGAATAATTATGAGAACTCCTAGAGCTGTGTACATATAGCTATATATAGATTTACATATAGGTAAGATTTATCTACTATAAAAAAACTGTTAACGTCATCTTGAACGTCCCGCTTTGTGTATTTTGTTGTACAAGTCACTCGATCTTTTAAGAGCCACAAGGTACGGATGTTTATAGACTGGGGTACATACAGACGCAAACACCTGGCTTTCCCCAACTGAAATGTTTGTGTTACTCACGAGGCAGGGACCCTAGACAAACAGACACGCACTACATTCGTATTGTGGCTCTGTCGCTGCCAAATAGGAAAGCGTTTGCAACCGGATTTACGTGGCGTCGGAGTTTGAAGGAATGAAATGCTTGAAAAAAAAATAATAATAATGATAAAAAAAAAATCTCGACTCATACAGAGAGGCAGCTGGACGAAATATCTTTCCCCAGCGATCACCAGAACTGTGTCAAGTCTCCCTGAACAGAAACCAGTAAGAAGGTTTTATGCGTCTCAATAAACAATATCCTAGCATCATATCCTTTCTTTCAGGGATATTTATGCCAATTGTAGATTTTTCAAGTATCAAGATGTATGCAGAGATAGATTCCAAAGAATATCTTCCAAAGGCATTGAGCGAAAACAAGAGGAAAAGATTAACCGGCAATTGTAAGACAATGGAGTGATAGTAACTATGAACTAGAGACTTTGGAATTAAGAAGAGATCCTTGATAACATTCAATTAAGAATTCACGACATTACTGGTCCAGATCTGGTATCTCGGCTTAAGTTATCTTCCCACCGGTAGAATGTAGCATCTGGATGTCAGTTATATATGATCAAAAAATCATTTCAGTTATGAAAATGAAGGTCACCATGCAACGTTGATTCATATATCAATACTGTTTCTATCTATCTATCTATCTATCTATCTATCTATCTATCTCAGTCTGTCCATATCCATCTATCTATCTATCCATCTCATCCTCTATTCATCTATCTATCCATCTATCTATCCCCATCATATCTATCTATCCATCTATCCATCTATCTATCTATCTATCTCAGTCTGTTCATATCTATCTATGTATTTGTGCATGCATCTATCTATCTATCTCAGTCCATCTCATGTCTGTTGTATGCATCTATCTATCTATCCATCTATCTATCCATGTATCTCCATCTATCTCAGTCTGTTCATATCTATCATCTATCTATCCATCTATCTATCTATCACATCCATCTATCCATCTATCTATCTCAGTCTCAGTCTATCCATCATCTATCTATCTATCTATCATCTATCCATCTATCTATCTCAGTCTGTTCATCATCTATCTATCTATCTATCTCATCTGTCCATCCATCTATCTATCTATCCATCTATCTATCTTTCTCCCAGTCTGTTCATCTATCCATCTATCTATCTATCTATCTTCTATCTATCTATCTCAGTCTGTTCATCTATCTATCTATCTATCTATCTCTATCTATCTCTATCTATCCCATCTGTTCATCTATCTATCTATCTATCTCATCTATCTCATCTGTCATATCTATCTATCTATCTTATCTATCTATCTATCTCATCTCTATCTCAGTCTATATCATATCATCTATCTATCTATCTATCTATCTATCTGTTCTATCATCTCTATCTATCAGTCTCATCTATCTATCAGTCATCTCATATCATCTATCTATCTATCTATCTATCTATCTATCTGATGTGTATGTATTTTTGTCTTTCTGTCACTGCTCACCCAAGCGCATCTGTGTTTTTGCAGTGTTTATTCATATACCCGTACTGTTTCTATCTATCTATCTATCTATCTATCTATCTATCTATCTATCTATCTATCTAAGGTAGCTCATTATCTATCTATCTATCTATCTATCTATCTATCTATCTATCTATCTATCTATCTATCTATCTGTCAGTCATTCTCTTGCATTTCCTCGATATCTTGAAATATTGTTCCCATCAAGTGGGATGTATTTTTTTAAAAGAGGAAAAATAGAAAGGAACGTAATCTGAGGAATATGGTGTTTGTTGGAGCCGGGGTATCTTGTTCTTGGCCAACACTGCTGCACAATCCATGGTCTCTCATGAAACCTCCGTGGCGTAATGAGACGACCACACTCTACGCACTTTCTTTCCAAGCACTGCTATTAACAACAGAAGCGAACAATAGCAGTATAACTTAGAAGGCATACGCGATAGACTGCCACATCTAAGCAAAACATAGAAAATCACTATAAATATTCTTCAGGCTAACTGTGAAAGTCAACCTAAACTATAGACGACTGAAAGTGATATATATATATATATATATATATATATATATATATATATATATATATATATATGTAAAAAGAACGAAGAATAAAATTCCAACGTTCAAAACATCAATTTAAATCAGGGCTCAATACAAGAGTAGAGCAATAAATATTTATTATAAATGTGACATTAGAACATGTAAGTTACTACTACAAAATTGGAAATTTTGTTTCGACGTTTAAATAAAACCTCTCTTCAGGGAATTAACAATAATTCTGAATTACCTGAAGAGACGTTTTATTTAAACGTCGAAACAAAATGTACAATTTTGTAGTAATTACCGACATGTTCTATTGTAACAGTGTATAATATATATATACATTTTTATTTTCGATGCCAAATATATTTCTTTTAAAAATAAACTTCCGTAATCTCCGTATAATATTTGACAGCACCAATACTACGGTAACTCGATATTTTTATTAAAATCTAAATTTAATAACGGTTAGTCTATATTCAGATCCTGAAGATTGCTTTGTTGCTTGGTACTGGTGTATGAAGGAATGTGTATATATATATATATATATATATATATATATATATATATATATATATATATATATATATATATATAGAGAGAGAGAGAGAGAGAGAGAGATTGTAAATTTACTTTCTTCTACAGTGAATTCTGAGTCTCCAGATAAAAGGAGAGTCGACCGGAAAAGGAAAAGTCGCCATGACAGCGAATAATGCTTCCAAGGTCATGATGGGAATGATTAATTTGATTCGATGCTCTTTTATTTTCTTACAATAAAGTGGAATAAAATATATTTTGCAAAAGAAAAGCCAAATATTGCTTTAACGTCCCAAATGACCACTAAACATTTTTCTTAAATTTTGTACGCACGGTTGTCACAGAATATTTTTAAAGTGACATCCATTGAAAACATTGATATACATTAGGGAAAAAAATAACGTATTCAATACAGGTCCGCTTAATTTATTATTTACCTACACGCACGGCAAGTATTTAGCACAAGATTACACCACATATAAATGTCTTCTTTACAATACGAGCAAACATTTGAACAAATACATTTATATAAATTTATAAAAGACATCTTTGAAAAAGTTGAAGTGAAAATTGTAACCCATACTCTTTTATAAAATTAAAGAATAGAACAATCGCAAATGTAATTTTATAAGTGATTGATTCTGAAGGTGGTCAATTTCTATTGATTTTTTTTTTTTTGGTGGGGTTGGGGGCGTAACTATATCTATTTCTATATCTATGGATTAAATAAACGCGAGTGTGAGTGTATCACACTTTTTCAACTTTACATCTAGAGACTGTAACCCAACATATGCCATTTTGGAATCAGGCCGACATCGTGAGCAAATTGAAAACATTCCGGGTCAGATTCGGAGCCGCAATCCTGAAATTTTAAATTCCTAAGTTTTCATTACTGCGATTGTCTCGGCAATTTTTACCTGACTTTTCTGCGACCAATCTTTTTTGTACGATAATAATTTCTATTATTCGGAAATAAATTTGGGAATAATCGAAAATTAATTGCAAAATCCAGCGAAAGTCACCTATCAAGTAAAAATAATTGTTTATACCAAAAGTAACGATCTACGTACATCAGATTTCTGTCTGTATCTCAGAGATGAGGTATTATGATTACTTACATTATTTACATTATTTAGACTGTTATGCTCATCCTCACTGCCAAATTCACAACATTTCGGCCGTTGTACACTCCGGCCTTCTTAGTCATAAAATTGCGTGCAAAATATTCACATTTTGTCATTAAATAACCCATAGAGGTGTTGATATACCTCTAAAAAACAACCAAACCAAATCAGTCTTTTTTATCTCTATCTACATTTCTCTTTTTTGCTTCTTCCTAATCAACACCTCTTTTTTCTTACTCTATCTCATCTCCCCCATTTCTTACTCTATCCTTTCTCCCCCATTTCTTACTCTATCCCTTCTCCCCTTATTTCTTTCTCCCTATTTCTCTTCTCCCCCATTTCTTACTATATCACTTCCCCTTATTTCTTACTCTGTCTCTTCTCCCCCATTTCTTACTCTATCTCTTCTCCCCAATTCTTACTCTATCTCTTCTCCCCCATTTCTAACTATATCCCTTCTCCCCATTTCTAACTATATCCCTTCTCCCCATTTCTTATTATATCACTTATCCCCCATTTTTTACTCTATCCCTTCTCCCCTATTTCTAACTCCATCTCTTCTCCCCATTTCTTACTCTGTCTCTTCTCCCCCTATTTCTTACTCTGTCTCTTCTCCCCCTATTTCTTACTCTGTCTCTTCTCCCCCTATTTCTTACTCTATTTCTTCTCCCCATCATTTCTTACACGATCTCTTCTCCCCCATTTCTTAATATATCCCTTCTCCCCCATTTCTTATTATATCCCTTCTCCCCCATTTTTTAGTATATCTCTTCTCCCTCAATTCTTACTATATCACTTTCCCCCATTTCTTACTCTATCCCTTCTCCCCATTTCTTACTCCATCCTTTCTCCCCGATTTCTTACACTATCTCTTCTCCCCCATTTCTTACTCTATCTTTTCTCCCCCCATTTTTTTTCTATATCACTTCCTCCTATTTCTTACTCCATCTCTTCTCCCCATCTCTTACTCTGTCTCTTCTCCCCCTATTTCTTACCTATTTCTTCTCCCCCATTTCTTACTCTATCTCTTCTCCCCCATTTTTTACTATATCCCTTCTCCCTCAATTCTTACTATATCACTTCCCCCTATTTCTTACTCTATCTCTTCTCCCCCCATTTCTTACTCTATTTTGTCTCCCCCATTTCTTACTCTATCTCTTCTCCCCTATTTCTTATCTATCTCTTCTCCCCCATTTCTTACTCTATCTCTTCTCCCCCATATTCCCTTATTTTTTACGATATCTCTTTTCCCTATTTCTTACTCAGTCTCTTCCCACCCCATTTCTTTCTCGATCTATTCTCCCTCATTTCTTATTCAGTCTCTTTCCCCCCCATTTCTTACTCTATCTCTTCTTCCCCATTTCTTACTATATCACTTTCCCTCTATTTCTTACCCTATCTCTTTCCCCCTATATCTTACTATATCTCTTCTCCCCTATTTCTTACTCTGTCTCTTCTCCCCCATTTCTTACTCTATCCCTTCTTCCCCATTTCTTACTATATCACTTTCCCTCTATTTCTTACCCTATCTCTTTCCCCCTATATCTTACTATATCTCTTCTCCCCTATTTCTTACTCTATCTCTTCTCCCCCATTTCTTACTCTATCCCTTCTTCCCCATTTCTTACTATATCACTTTCCCTCTATTTCTTACCCTATCTCTTTCCCCCTATATCTTACTATATCTCTTCTCCCCTATTTCTTACTCTATCTCTTCTCCCCCATTTCTTACTCTATCCCTTCTTCCCCATTTCTTACTATATCACTTTCCCTCTATTTCTTACCCTATATCTCTTTCCCCCCTATATCTTACTATATCTCTTCTCCCCTATTTCTTACTCTATCTCTTCTCCCCATTTCTTACTCTATCCCTTCTTCCCCATTTCTTACTATATCACTTTCCCTCTATTTCTTACCCTATCTCTTTCCCCCTATATCTTACTATATCTCTTCTCCCCCTGCAATATCTTTATTAAGTAAAATGACAATCAATACTGTATTAAAGTATAAAAATACATTTTTATAGAAAAATGACCACTTGTTTTTTTTTTCGAAGATTTTCACCCCAAGCAAAGTGGGGTTCCGAGTAGCACGCAAGTGATGGACTACAGAGAATGGGAGCAAGATTAAAGTGACGTGCTAGAGGAATAACGAGAAAGACGAGAATTAGATCAAGGCATCCGAAGATGTCGGTTGACATTACATTTGAATATCTGAAGACTATAACTGTCAGAGAAGCAAGTAAGAGGAAGGGAGTTCCACAGACGGGAAGAGACGGCTACATTTAACCGTTTCGACAATGAAAGCGTGGGATTGAGAGGCCAACCTTGTAACACGGTTAAATCCATGCAGTTTCGGAACAAGCGTAAATAGCTCGTCGGAGCAGTTACTGTGAAGATACTTGTAGAAAAGACAGAGGGAAGTGACGGTACGACTGTGAGAAAGTGACTGTAGGCGAGATGCCAGACCAGAACCAACCACATTGCATATCCGTCTTTAAATTTTGTCGAGGACCTCGAAATGAACAGAGGGGGCTCCAGACTATATATGGAAACAGTATTCCATGCACGGGCGAATGGTTGATTTATAGATTCGCAGGATTGACTCAGGCGGGAAAAACTTTCTGGCACGACACAGAGAACCAAATTTTCCTTGCAGTAGATGAAGCTATTGATTCAATGTATTTGTTCCATGTTAAGTCAGCGGACAGAGTGAGCCGAAACAGGGGCAGAGAGGATCTCTCGTGGAGTTAAGCATCAGAGATTCTAATGCGAGGCAAGGAGGATTCTCTGTGGTGGGTAAAAGAGAACAAGTTTTTTTTTAGGCATTAAATTTAAATAGCCATTTCCTGTCCCGCTCAACAATCGATTGGAGGTCCTTTTCGAGATCAAAGGCCAGTTTTGTTTCGTCAGCGATATCAAATTTGCTATTGAAACAGGAGTAATTAATATCATCGTCTGGGTAGAAGCCTACTTGGCAACTGATGACATCAGGAAGATCATTAATGAAGATCAGAAACAGTGTAGGACCCAGGATAGAGCCTTGGGGAAAAGCAGTGTTCGTAAGAAAGGCACTGGAGGATAACCCGTTTAGGGCGGCCTTCATTAAACGGTTTGACAGGAATGATTGTATTAAGTCAAAAATACACCTTTATCGTACAATGAAAATCAATACAACACTAAAGTCTAAAAATACATTTGTATAGTAAATTTACCCGCAAAATATTTTATCAACTATAAAATATATATATAAAAAATATACGTTTTCCCTGAAAGTATAAAAATCCATTTTTATAGTAGAATTAACAGCAATACACTTTTTCTTATCTACAAACTACATATCGAAAAACATATTTTTACTCTGAAATAATAAAATTATGCATAAAATATCTGTAGTTGAAGTCATAAAATGACGTACAAAATGTTTAGACTTCGACATTACATAACCCATAGAGGTTTATATGCCGCTAAACAAAAACAACGGAAACCAACAATTAAGAGCTACAAATGACAGGAAGTTTTGGAGAGCCATGATCGCCTACATCCGGAAGGGACATGGTACATAGAAGAAGATTTAAATTGTTTCTATAAAATTCCAAAGATATTAAGAAAAAGAAAATGTCTGTTCTCTCCCACCCGCTTTTCTCATCTCAAGCCCAGGTTCTTTCTTTCTGTTCCCGCCATTCGACAATAAATAGCAAACCGGTCCATGAAAGGTGGGGCTGGGTATGATGACGGACCATAATACGATTATGAAAATTGACTTTTGCAGCAGACCATTATACTTGTGTCACTAATTAACCAACAGAAGGCTTTTCATCTAATCTGAGACAGATTACTTGATTAAGAAACGCGATAATTAATTCTACAATAAGCCAACTTTCAACTTGATTAATCCAACGAGCTTTTCTTCTTCGACGCTTCTTCCACTGACATTGTCCTTCTCGCACGACCAAAAAATCCTTTCCTTCCTTCCTTCCTTCCTTCCTTCCTTCCTTCCACCCTTCCTTCCTTCCTTCCTTCCTTCCTTCCTTCCTTCCTTCCTTCCACCCCTTCCTTCCTTCCTTCCTTCCTTTGCCTTTCCTTCTTCCTTCCTTTTTTCTTTCCTTTTCTTTCCTTTCTGTCCTTCACTTCACCCACTGTCTTTTTCTTCTTTCTCCTTCACACCTCCCTCTGCTCTTCTTTCCTTCTTTCACGTTCTTTCTTTTCTCCCCTTCTGTTCCCTCTTCTTCTTCACTCTTCTCCTTCCTCTCTTTTTTCTTCTTTCGCTTTGTTTCTTTCCTCTTTGTCCTTGATTCATAATCCTTAACTGATTTCCTATTCTTGATCCCTCTCTTTCTTTCTTTCTTTCTTTCTTTCTTAATTTTCTTTCTTTCCCTCTTCTCTCTCTTCCTTTTTAGATTTCATTCTTTCCTTCTTATAGCCTATCTTTTTTCCTTTCTTCATCTTCACTTTCGCCCCCCTCTGTTCTTTCATTCTTTCGCTGTTTAACTCTCCCTCACTCTTTCTTTCGCCTTCACTATCCTCATTTTTTCTCCGTCATTTCCGGCTGTCCTTCGTTTTCTTTCTTTCTTTCTTTCTTTCTTTCTTTCTTTCTTTCTTTCTTTCTTTCTTTCTTTCTTTCTTTCCCAGTCTTTCTTTCTTTCTTTCTTTCTTTGCTTGTTTGTCTTTCTTTCTATTTTTTCTATTCTATCTATCTATCTATCTATCTATCTATCTATCTATCTATTATCTATCTTTTTCTTTTTTTCTTTCTTTCTTTCTTTCTTTCTTTTTTTTTTCTTTTCTTTCTTTCTTTCTTTCTTTCCCAGTCTTTCTTTCTTTCTTTGCTTGCTTGTCTTTCTTTGTACCTCAGTTTTTCTATCTATCTATTCTAGTCTTTTCTTTCTTTCTTTCTTTCTTTCTTTCTTTCTTTCTTTCTTTCTTTCTTTCTTTCTTTCTTTCCCAGTCTTTCTTTCTTTCTTTCTTTCTTTGCTTGTTTGTCTTTCTTTGTACCTCAGTTTTTTTCTATCTATCTATCTATCTATCTATCTATCTATCTATCTATCTATCTATCTATCTATCTATCATTATCGATGTTTGTTCATATCTATTCTAGTCTTTTTCTTTCTTTCTTTGTTTCTTTCTCTTCCTTTTTTGCTTCTCTTCGTTCACTGTTTTTCTCTCTTTCTTCTTTCTTTCTTTCTTTCTTTCTTTCTTTGTATTTCTTGTTTCCTTTACTCTTTCCTTCTCTCTATCGTCCATACATTTTCTTTCGTTTCTCAACGTCTCTTGCTTCTCTCTATCTTCAAACCTTCCTTGTTTCCTTCTTTTGTTTTCTTTCTTCACCCTCCCACATTGCTTCTTCCTTCGTTTTGTCTCGTTTGCCTCTTTTTTTCTTTCTTTCTTTCTTTCTTTCTTTCTTTCTTTCTTTCTTTCTTTCTTTCTTTCTTCTCCCCTTCCATCTTTTCTTTCATTCCTTCAATATCACTTCTCTCCTTTATTCCTACGCGTTTCTTCCTACCATCTACATTCAACTCACTCTCTTTCTTTTTACCACTCCTTCATCTTCCGTTCATTTACTTCTCTTTTGCACTCTCCTTCCTTTCTTCACACTTTCCCATCTTCCTTTCTTCCCATCACTCTCTTCCTTTTCTTTCATTCCCTCTTCCTTTCTTTTATTCCTTTATTCTGTCTTGCTTTCTTTCTTTCTATTTTCCTTCTTACCTAATCTATACGATCTTTACTGTCCTTTGATTTTTTTAATAAAAAATCGCATCAAACTCTCGCCATCAACTCCATGACATGACATGCAATAACACAAAGATGTCCAATCTAGTCCACGTTTATTACAATGCTACCCTGATAGCTGTACATCTATCTTACTGTTTTTTTTAATCTTTTTTTGTTTTTTTTTTATCGCGGAAGGATACGAAAGGTCAGTTGAGTAAAGCGGTCGACAGGTCAACCTGACAGAATACAGTAGCAGTCGTCGGGTAGCATCGCTATAACTACGTGTTCAATAGATTACAAACCCTTTTGAAGATTTTAGGGAAACCATTTATTGCTTAATATCATCTCTTTCAATACGAACTTCAGTGAGATATTAAATTAAGCCTTGTAAATAATTTAGCTAGCTTTTAGTAAATGTGTCCACATTGGAAGCGACGACGATTGATTGGTAGATCATGCTCATCAAAATATCAGTGAGAAGAAAGCAAAATTGAATTAGAAATGATATGGAAGCGAAATTTTCAAAAACAGACTTTTAAATGTATAACCTGCAGACCCAAAGTTTGCATTACGGAGATAACCGATATATACTATATTATAATATCTATCTATCTATCTATCTATCTATCTATCTATCTATCTATCTATCTATCTATCTATCTATCTATCTATCTGTCTCAGTCTGTTCATATCTATCTATCTATCTATCTATCTATCTATCTATCTATCTATCTATCTATCTATCTATCTCAGTCTGCTCATATCTATCTATCTATCTATCTCAATCTGCTCATATCTATCTATCTATCTATCTATCTATCTATCTATCTATCTATCTATCTATCTATCTCAGTCTGTTCATATCTATCTATCGCAGTCTATTCATATCTATCTCAATCTGCTCATATCTATCTATCTATCTATCTATCTATCTATCTATCTCTAAATCTGCTCATATCTATCTATCTCAGTCTGTTCATATCTATCTATCTATCTATCTATCTATCTATCTATCTATCTATCTATCTGATATGTATGTATTCCTGTCTTTCTGTCACAGCGCGCACGCGCGTGTCTGTGTGTGTGTGCAATTATTTATTATTTTTATTTTGCTTGCGTGTTGTCTTATACCAGACTATTTCAGATGGCTCCTTACAGATTAAGGGGCACAGTTTTTGGGAACATGAGGGGAAGTTAACCATTTGACATAGTCTTGAATAGGTTAAGTTTGTATTGATCGGGGAAGCATGCGACTCCCAAGATTATCTG